GATTTTTTCCCCAACCCCTAAAATTTAAAAGAGAATAATTTAACCCCACTCATGATTATAAACCTGTTATTAAGATTTGATTTACAGTTTCAAATGGGTGTAGTATAAATAGTGATCGGTACCAAATTCTGCAAAAAAGCAAAAAAAACAAAACAAACAACAAAAAAAAAGGTTCCTTCAAAAGGATAGTTTGATATGCAGTTACGAATAACTTCAAAATTCTCTCACTCACCTTTAAAAATTCCAGTGAACAGCATTATACAAACTGTGAATCAATACATTTACTTTAGATTCCAAGCTTGACAAGACAACCAGTCCAGCTCATTGAGCCTGCATCCTGGTGAGACTACATTAACTCCACCTTAGTCTGGAGTTTGCATGGGTGCATTTATCTTTAATGAGGCCTGGATACCCAGGGTGAAGTGCCATAGCAACTTTGTTCAACATTGGTTCCCCATGATGTTGAAAGCTTTGAATGATCCCAAGGTGAAAAGAAGAATTCCAATTTGTCAAGAGAAAAAGGGATCCTAAAAATATTTGCTTTAAATCATTCAATATCTTATGTAACTCCAAACCAGGAAATGCCATAACTAGGCTGAACAGCCACAGGATGTCTTCGGAGTTACAGTTTGTTTATTCTGTATTTTAGAGTTCACAGTATGGGCAGCATAGTGAGATACCACAGACATCAAAGATTTCTTGTAGTCAAAGCCAGGAGGTGTGTACCAGCAAATCACTGCAATATGATGTCATGATGTCATTCACAGTGGAAAAAATGTTAGAAAACGTCTTTATGGTGTCATAGTTGACAACCGCACAGCTTTAAGTATTCATTTGCATATTAGTTTACTTGATTCAGACGTACATCTTTTAGTTACCAGCACAACTCTCATAATTGGATCTTGTTCGTTAAACAATATTATTTCCTGTTATGTTCTGAAATGGGACCTATGATGTTATTTTTCCAACTCCCTTTCTACTAGAGTAGCTTTGCATGATTCGCAGTTCAAAATTCTTCTTTTGTGCTTTACATCGGTCCTTGGTGCAGCCCCTCAGTTCATCCACTATCTTAAAGAAGTTTTAGTTCTTTTCCTAGCCTGCCTTCAAGCAGCTGATTGTTGCAAACAAAAGGTTTGAACAGCTGGATTTCTTTGCTCACTGACATCATACAAACCTACAAGTAGAAAAAATAAAGACTGAGCATTTAGAGCACTCTGTAGCCTGAGCTGTCGGCTCAAAGGAATTAACTCTAAATACCCCGATCTTATTATTGGTACCTGTTTGAATCACTGTATCGTCATGATTGAATCAGTATGTAGAATAAATAAAGACAGGCATAATGTTTGTTCAAATAATGTGTTTCGTCATTTAAACACTAACTCCAGCTACACCTGCAACTCCACACTCCACTTACCCATTATGGATGATGTGTGGTAGATGTTTTGGGTCGGATAGACTTCTGTATGCACAGACAGGTTGTGGTCAAATCTTTAAAGTTTGCTTCCAGAGAATATAACTGTGGAAGCAAAAGTGCCAGGCATAATAAAGCCCTGTTTATGCAAGTTTACTTGTGTGCGTGCGTCTGTGTCGGTGTGTGTGTGTGTGTGTGTGTGTGTAACGCTTGACTGAGTCCATGGATAGAACCCATTGCCAGCCAGCCAGCAAGTCACTCTTCTGAATTATTGAAACAGGTCAGTAGGCAAGAGGAGAACAGCGTCTGTACGTCTGTGTTTGTGATTGTCTGTCTGTGCACAGCAGTGCACTGCAAATTCAGAGCTTAAGCTTTCTGCTGTCTTCTATAGAGGGAATTAATGGCTGTGCCTTCTATTCACCAAGATTATAAATAGAAAACAAGTCAACATTTTAGCAAATGCAAAATGCTGCAAACAGAGGATTAGGTATGTTGAAAATAGACGTCTTGAATACAGAGCTCTATCGGAAAACATTTGCCTGGAAAGTAAAAACACCTGGGATGACTTAAAAATGCTGATATTTCTCAGTTACATTAAATTCACAAGAAGAAGCTTGAGAGCAGCTGTGCTCTTTTCTGTTCTTGCTGTTGTCCTGTGCTGTTTTTCTGTCCAACCAAACAGCAGCCAAAATAAATAGTGCAGCAGTATAAATACCAAGGGTAACCAATGTTCCAAGATGAGATAAATATAAAGAAGCCAGACAGCACTTCTGATCTGTGCTGCTGTGATATTTAACGCACCAATGGAACAAATGCACAAACAAGTTGTTGGACTTTGTTTTTGGCTAAAGTAAAAATGTAACCTTTCTTTTAATAAAATGTGCTCTCATTGGTTTGGGTTTTAGTTAAAACATAGTAAAGGATTGGATTTAAGTAAAAGAAAAAACAAACAAACAATGATCAACACATCGCATGAACCTGATATTTTAACAGAAATGAATCTGATGTGCCTGCAGCTGTTTACTTTGGCAAGAAAATACTAAATGTAAATAGATGTAGATAGACAGTAATACACAAATAAAACCATCAAAGTGCAGCTGCTGCGTTCAGAGTTCAGGGATATCAGTACTTCTCACTATTCTTGCCCTAGAAGCTCTTGTTTTATTATTACAATAAAGATGCTTCTTGTTTGTTGTTTCTTCACTTGCATTTATATGCTTTCCTTTCTTCTTTTATTCTCCAATTTACATCTGTATTCTTTGTTGCTGCACACC